ATATATGTAAAACAAATACATATATAGTCTCTTATATGTATAACAAATACATAGTCTCTACTACATAATATAAACGTTCCCCGTACTCCCCTGTATCAAAGACCTTCTGGCCGCCATACTGCTCGACGGATTCTTGTAACCGTGTAGTAACGTTCTTTAACCATTGTTGCATACATTTATTCGTTTCAATAGTCTGTCCCATTTTCTGTTGTGAACACTGTATTGAATGTCTATACTAATTCATAGAACGTTTACTTACACGTCACACAGGTCTACTGTATTTCGGCATATATTGTTCTCTAAAACGACTTCACGAACTAAGCGTCCAAGCTAGGCGAGGAATGCGGACTCCAGTACATGATTGTATAGGATTTATGATACCTTCTCAATTTATTGCTAGCATAGAATTGTCAGACAAAATAACGCAAAGAAATCTCAAACAACACTACGCAAAGAGAAATTGTGCAGATTTGAACTGAAGTATGGAATTTCACAATGTTCTGTACTTTAAAGTATTATCACCTACGATGATGTTCATGAAAATCGAAGCTTGCGAACAAGAATGATTGCAAAGGAGAATAACAGTCAGCGAGCACGATCGATGAAGCAAAATATCATACAGCGTCTACTTGGATAGTTAACAACTAAACTTTTATTAGAGATGCAAATCTCCAATTAGGCATATAATTACGTGATATAAAAAGACGAATAGAAAGATAAGCGTGGCGTATTTGGGCCTTTGTGGTTCCAGAACATTGCTGAGTATGCACAAGACAGTACAGGCTGCAATGATTCTAGCTGGTATTATGTATGAAAGGCGATATCGACTTCAACTATGAGGAGTGTATAGTGTCGGATGAAAATGATGAGGGAAGTGTAGACCGGCTAAATAGTACACAACGGCCTGTAGTATGTGTACATGGTTGAGGTATAGACAGTTTTCTGTGTGCATGCTGCACTGAAGGGGAAGGCCTTAAATTCGCTATGCTTCTAATGGTACACACACAGTATACATGCCAATGATGAATAGTGATTGGTGGTGGATTAGACATTTATTGTACGTGCCTACATATGTAAATAATGCCTCTGAGGATACTAAATTTATATTATAAAATTCCATTGTTTTTAATTTCTGTGTTGGTTTAGGTTGCAACTGGGTGATTTATATTTTCAAAATCAATGAAATCAGTATTATATCGCCACAAATCCATTGGTGGCTGGTGCGAGAAAAGCATCATCCTTTTTGTGTTTATAGAGCAAAAAGCAAATATTTCAACAAGGTACACACATGGCGCACTCTAAGCCCCCAGCTGTAGGCATGTGCCGTTGCGCGAAACAACGATATAACACTAAGCAATTTGACTTTTTTTATTTACAAATTGATTAAAGTAGGGCATAAGATACGAGATGTTGATAGGATAGAATGTCAATCCAGAGTGATGTGCTCTAGATATATTTATGAGGAATGCCGAACTATAACTGTGCTGTATACTATACGCATGCACACATTGACTAAGTGCGAGCACTATCGTAATATTTACAGCTTCTTCGTCATCTGATGGAATACCGATTTGTATTACATGCATTTCAACGAGGAGAACTATAAATGTTTGTTTGTCTGTCTAGGACCGACCTCTACTGCAAATCTTGTAGCGAAGTCAGATAAGAATACCTACGATTGGATTTGTCACAGTTCGCAGCATAATGTATTTCTTCTCGATATCGCACAAGTGTAAGAATGGATTTCTTTATTTTACAGAAGTAATACAGTTAGCGTAAGATGAACGATATAGCGGTATATAGGATTGCCACAACAGAAACGTATCACAACACAAACGGATTATTTATATGTTAAAGATTAGAGCGACTTTGAGACATAAGCTTTACTTCAACATTCACGTTGATACAGTCTCTGACCTTATGAAAGAAAATTCGCAGACGACATTTGCGTCACAAACAGACAGGGTATGACAAAACCTTCGTCAAGTATTTGTACAGAGTGAGAGGAAAAAGAATCAATAAACTACTTTTAATGAATGTAGATGAGAACTCACGAGTCAATGACTCCCCTTTGTATTCTTCATTTTCTATTCAAGTATGATGTATAGGTCTGTGGATTAAAAAACATGTGTGGATATGCTGTGTGCAGCAGTGCATGACCTTTCGATAGCAGAAACAGAAAAACTTTCACAATTAGGCCTGTTTTATTCGTTCGAATTTCACGACACGAGTTTCTCATATTTGCCTTAGTTCATCACGTGATGTTCCCCACAGACCTGTTTGTAGCGGACAATAAACAAGGTTTTATTCTATTCTTTTTTAATAGACATGCTCATGCATGGTGGTACCAATATTGTCAGCATGAGATCCTACAATATCTCCCAAATCCAAAACCTAACACACGGGCGAAACCCAAGCAATTTTCCCATAGGTTTCAGACATGTCAGAATAGAGAAAGAACCTCAAGGCTTGGGTCCTCATCTTACAACTCTTTTGCGTAGTATCAGAATATGGAATCATGATAATGTCCTGTGCAGCGATAGTTGTTGCATCATTCATCACAAACAAACCTCTTTTTCTCTGTCACGGTTTTGCGAGGCATGCATGTAATATTGCAAATCGAAGAAATTCGGACTAGTGTGGGTGCAATATCAAGACCAACCGACACAACAGTGCCGCATAAAGTATGTTCCAAAACAAGACTTCTCTTTTACCTTGCGTTGAAATGACATAAAGGCAGCAACAAAATATTCGCGTGGCCATACACGTACAACTGCCATCGAGGGTCCAAAGTGTTTGAATAGTCTCTGCAACAGGCGATTGTATAATCTGTTGTGTATGATCCGGGATATATATGTCATATTTGGAGCATTCAACGAAAGCAGAATTATATTCCTCGGATAGTACCTGTGGTCACTTCACCACAATTTTTTTTTATCAAAGTCTGCTTCTGAATCTTATACAATTTAGTACAGAGAAAACAGGGAGCACGCTGAACAAACTCACTTCGAATATGTATCATTGATAAAAGTTATACTTCACTAATTTATTTACAAATATTCGTTCTACTACCCTCTAGCAGTCCGTCGACGACTGCGGTAGCTTGTACCATCCATTGTCGGAATCCATGATATGTATGATTGTCTTCACAGCGCATGCGCTTTGACAGTCCATAGTTCGATACACCATTGACCCCTTCGTACCGGAAAATCCAAAAGGGTTTGCTCCCAGAAATAAGATCACAATTCTTGCCCGTTCTGTATATGTCTATGTCATATGGGTACCAGCTGAATAGACTCTCAACAATGTACGCATCGAAGACGGCGACTGTGTCGTGATTGTTGTAATACGAAGGGAATGAACATGATCAACCAAGGCTGCCATGTAGTCTCTGTATCGCACATCGATTTCCTTTCTATTTCTCGCCTCCATTGCCTGATTGTCGTTGTTGGCCACCACGTCCGTGGATTCAGCATTGTCAGAACTCACCATAGTAAAACCCAGATCACGGATGCCTTGTAGCACCTCCTTCATGATCGACAGAACTTTAATCATGAGCTCATCTGGATCATATCAACAGTCACCTCAGGTCCCGCCGTTTCCGTTACTGTCTTCATTTGCCTTCCAAGCCAGGTCTGCAAGCTCTTGTCTCCCAAGGATACGTCTTCCGGGATGACACGGTTCCAACACTCAGGTAGCACATAACCTCAACATCTGGCTGCTTGCCTGCGTCCAATGCAGCTTGTACATTTCCCAGTGCTGCACTAACTTGAGTATCGTTAATATTAGATGGGGAGGTGAATATAACATCGTAGCCATCACAGTCGGTGTTCTTTTGTCCCCAGAATTTGACCAAGCTAGGTTGCATATAGAGGCATCGTTGCCGAGACTTCGAGTGTAGTCCAGGTCATTCGATTCACGAGTGGCCCTGGCCAGTGTGCCAGTGCATAATACAGTGCACGCTGCAATGAATCGAGATAAGGGAATTTCAACGTTAACTATAAATAATGAATAGTGTCAGATGAATATGTGTTGACAAATTAGGGTTTCTTCCATTATATAGTACGCAAGGGATTGTGGTGCAACCACACTTGTGAGACATACGCACACGCACAGTTCCTAGTCAGTGCCATGACCTCGAAAATAAATATAGTGTGTGTGCGTCTCTAAGCGGAAAGACTGTACATAGCACGCTTCTTGCATCTATTCTTCCAACATACCCGGCACATATATTGTTTATGGTCATCGAGATTCCAATCATAACAGTGGTCGTCTGGAAATTTTCGATTTCAAAAGAATAAATTATGCATATGTATCATAGCCTTCTGTGTTCTATTTTCAGAGGGCTAAGATATGTGTGTATATGATACAACAGATACATGTGTATTGTAAGAATAAATACATATAAACACACAAAAAAATAAAATGTTCCAGGTTCCTCCTCCGGAAAGCGAAATCTCAAATCAGTCAAAATTCAATTCACCGTGATTTCTCATCGCTGGAGCATAGAGTTTATCGCCTCAAATCCATTGGTGTAGTGTATTTTGCCAGTTTTTGTTTTAAAAAACAAATTAAAAACTATATGTAGCAAAAAGTTCAGGACTGGCGTCTGGCGTAGTACCTCACGCGAGCGGCGAGTCCAGACCCCGTGAGGCGTGATATTCATATTAGATACAATACATAACAGAGCACT